AAAAACGGACACGGAGGCCAAAATTTTTTTTTAAAAAAACAACAAAATAAATAAACAAATTTCAAAATACGCTCGGGTTCAACTGGATTAAATCCAAGCGCCCTTCAAAAATATATGATATCAAACCCGCGTTCCATATACCTCGGTCGGCGTTTGCCAAACGTATCCTGCGCGATTTTATTTTTTTTTAATTCTAAATAAAATATTACCCGCCTTCTCCAATCCCCCCCTTCAAAAAAAAATGTTGTTTATGTATACCGACGTCTGTACGGTTTTCCGACATTCGGTATTATTATCGTGTGTATTTTGTTTTGTACGTTTTGAACCGCATATAATATATTTTTTTGTCGGCGACCACGGCCAGTATTTGGACTTACAAGCGTTGCGTGCACGAACCTCGGTGTTGTATTTATATACATACACACATTCGGGCCGCCGCCGCTGCTATTTTCGAACTGTGCGCTTTCCGGCCGAGGGTACCTGTATATTGCCTAATCGAAACGCCTTCGTCAAGGTTTCGAAGCGAGCGTTCTAAAATAAAAACGTTTTCTAGCGAAAAAAACAAAACAAAAACCCCAAATAATCATTTTATATCTCTGTTGAAACCCTGCCAGAAAGTCAAATTTTATTATACAGCTCGAGTTGTACAACGGGGCCGATCCGTGTTCGCAGGGGCACGATCAAGTGTTAAACATTTTTCGAATATGATATAAATAATAGATGATAATTAGACCACATATTATTATACTGCATTTGTTCTCACAAATAATAAATATAATAATATTTTTGATTTTAAATATTATTCAAGATAAAAGCTTTTTAAGTTAAGTGATAAAAATAACAAGACCATACATATACATAAATATTGTTCATAATTCATTATCCTAACCTATGAAGTCTTTAATTCGAATAATTTCAAATACCTATGTATTGTTTATTGTAAATCAATAGCAAATAAGTTTATAGAAAATTAATTAATTTAAAAGAGAAATATTTTTAGGTACACTTTGGTCGTTGTGTCAGAGTAATATCTTTAATAAAATATATAGATATATAAAAAAAAGTTTTAAAAAATTAATAAAATTATTTAATTGGCCAATCTGTACAGTCGTAACTTCTCATAACTAAGTTTTTCATTCCATTATTATATATTTATTTTTTTATTTTTTATGTTAATTTTTTTAAAGCGCGTCGGGTACTCGACAAAATTAATTTAACGAACAGTAAAATCATTAAAACGTCAAACGTGTAAACGTCACAGATAATTTCTTTTTTCAAATTATATTTTTTGGAGATTTAATTTTCGATAAAAGCGAAAATGAAAATAAAATATCATACGAATTCGGTCGCCTACTGTATTACAATATACTGTCAACGAACGCTCTTGGTCCACGCAATAATAAATAATGTTATTAATTTTAAGACCAACGACGCAATCCCATTGTCTCCCTTCGACAGTTGCACATCACATTGGCGCGTAGGTATGATGTATGTAGTATGTGTGTTTCTTAGTTAAATAGTAAAAGTTGTGGTTGCCTACTACTAATATAATACAATATTTCTATTGTAACAACGGCAAAATAATATTTATTCATGCCAAAAATATAAAAACCTCATTGCAATTGTTATATTATTCTTATTTCTTGTATCAGCTCGTCTGTGAGCGTTTTTGTTACAAACAAAAAATTATCATATTTTAATAACACGCGTTCAACGCCAATTTATATGAAAAAAAAACACATTTGATTAAACACAACTTCTAGATCAGTACCCTACGATAGCTAGTAAAAATATAATACAGAGCAACTGTTCGTTCAGACCTGCTTGCATTCAGTTTGTATTAAATTATATTGTGTATTATAGTATTGCCTAATGTCTATAACTAATAACCATACACATTCTGTATTCGTCCATTATCGTTTCGTATACAAGCGTAGTTTGGAATTAAACGTTGTGTTTAAATTGAAATTTTTGTAAATAAATCAATGTTTTACTGCTTTGAAAAAACAGATGTCCGAATATCTGTATTCGAAAATGGTGCATGCGGACCGCACGTTTATCGGTTCAGCAAAAAGATCTAACAAGCATCGTCCATGTGAATCATAATAGAGGAGAAAAAGCAAACACTTATAAATGAAACTATGACGTCAGACGAGATAATTCTGTCCTTTAGGATTCATCGATTCGGTCACTATCATTAATACTAAAATCCTGGACAAATAAATTAGTGAAGAGCTATCAATTACATACCTATGTGTCCTAAATATAACGAAAATTATGTTCACGAAAATATTCTGTCAAATGTAATCTTTAAAGGCTTCTCATAAAAAATGGGGCAAAGTGACCAAAAATATTGTGTGAGTTGGACATCATTCAAATAATTTTTAAGCTAAGTAAAGTTATAATTTAAAAAATGTCTATTATTTCTCATCAATTGCTGTTCGGTTATTAATTAGTAATCACTAATATATTCATTATTTATTAATATTTGTTATCCGTCGAGTACCTACAATTATGTATTATTTTTCTTTTGTTTAAAGTTTACTTTTATCTACCTTGATAAACGACAAATATAGAAACTATCTAAGATGAACAACATATGTATAATAATTTATTTTATTTAATCAATGTAAAAATGTATTGAATAATGAAATAATATATGTATTATTCAAAATTTGCGCAACTCTGAGTGTATAACTCGTTAGTTTATTATTATATCGATTAATATATACTGAAACAATCGACCTTATTTTCATATAATCTACTGTATGGAAAAGCCTCCGCCGCCGTTAGTTGTACCTATTATTATATTCGACCCCTTTTCTCCGGTTTTTGAAACCGATCCAATCAACCGCGGTACATATATAGTTCACGTGGCTTGCGGACCCACGCAATTCCGGGTCAAGGTCGGGTCGTTTCGCGAGGGGCGTCCGTAATCACAATAATCAAAATATGACAATACACCCGTTAGTCGTACAGAGACACCTTTGCAGCAGTGTGTATAAGTAGGTGCCATAAATGTATAAGAAAAAAAAAATGTCAAAAAAACTGTGTATTTATCTTTGTTTTAAAATTAGCCCCCTAAAAAAATAATATATATATATATATATATAGTTCCATACATTCATTTTAACATGGAGGTGATGTTTTTATAATATTTTTAGTTCTTAAGCAATCCCAATTTTTTTCTAGCGAAATTAAGCCCCTATAGTAATGCAGTGTGCACTTATTATTACATAATGAATTAATTTACACTGAAAATTTATTTACATTTATTTATGGGTTTTTTATTATTTTTCAGACGCGGATATCGTATTGACCTTAACCTCGGCGTGCGCTAACGTGTTTTTTATGCCAAAATCTCAGTTTGCTGTATCAAAAAAAAAAAAAAATAATAATAAAAAGAGTTCAATCACACCACGTTTGCCAAAAATACCACGTTAGTAGTACTATAGTTTTGCAAATAATAAATATGTTCTTGTAAACTCATTTTCATTCAAAACAACTACTTGTGTGCAGTCTTATGATATATTTATATAAGAATATTCGAATACGCTTTATACATTATTATACATATAGTTTACTATACACTATAGTTTTATATACTATCACTGTACAAATTGATTGTCTTCGACGGTATAATCTTATTAGCTTTTTATTATTTTTTTTAGCTTCTTATTTTTTTGTCATTTCAATCGTATGTATGGAAATACGTTTGTAAAACAAACGGACACGTTTACAGAAAAAAAATATAATAATAATAATAACATAATATTTTACAATACAATGGACGTTTACCTCGCGAGACTACTCAATTATATATTTTATTCAATAACGTCATTCGCGCGAGATTATTAACTTCCTGCGCGGTCGTATAATAGTATAATACTCAATTACAATTGACTATCAAACCGACACGATTATCGTGAAAGGTAAGTAGAAAAAAAAAAATAAAAGAACAATGAACAGTGTATATGGTTTTGAATAGATATGACCCACACATGCGCGAAAACGTGCGTTATAATATTATATGAACAAGTCGATTGTCGTTTGTTCCCGACGAAAACAGATGAATAAACTACAGCTGATGATTAAAAGATAAACACATATTTAGATTGAGTTTCAACGGTTGCGCATATTTTGTCATTGTCCCTAAAAACCATCGTAGACCTCAAGACGTGGTAAGTGAGACTATAAGCCTGCAATACAAGCGGTGGCATAGTTTCTGATGTCCTTATTTTAATGCCAGAGTCAAAATTATAAACTTATGAGGTTCGTCAGAGAAATTTGGTAAATCCTATCTTCAATGTTATATTTACCCTTAGGACACGAGCCTGGCCTGATGTGGACCCCGAATAATACAATTTACATCTTTACTTTTTTTTTTTTTCTTAAAGGGCCCCTAAATTCTCTTTGCTATCTTATCTCCTGATATAGGTAACCAAACAAACGTTTTTAGATACATGTAATCATAATATTTTTGTTTCTGTAAACGAGCTTGGTTATAATTTTTTTTTCGTTTTCATAATAATAAAATTACTAAACCCGATAAAGAATGTATAAAATATTTGCTGCAAAACACGGGTATGCCACATGGTACATGTCCTCATACGATATCGTTAGTTGGTCGTGAGCACTAATATAGGTATATTTTCAAATTCAACGACAATGCTAAAATACAATTTTTTTTTTTTTTTTTCAAAGGGTTTTTTCAATATGATGTCAAACAATGATTTGTTTTTTTCTGCTTGACCGATAGTAGCAAATCGTACGTGACTATTAACTTTGATAGGTCGAAAGTTAAAAAAGTGTAAACTTTTTTGGAAAAAAATTGGCTAGGTTTTTTTAAGTTTCAACTATGAACCGCTAAAATCGAATCGAATCGAGACAAACTGAGAGGGACGTTGTACTACGATTTTTTAGGCTTACTTTTCACAGCCAACCGTGCAACGTTTGGCCGCACTTCTTAGGGTGCCGATTTTTATTATTTACTAATTTACCTTGTGTGGATAACACTGAGAGTGCCAGCCGGACGACTGCGGGTATCCAAACACAGCGGCGGCGGCGGCGGCAGCGGCGGGTTGCTGGTAAGTGCCGCACTGATACATTTGACCGCGACCCCGGGATGTCGTTTTTCAATCACTGCAAAACCGATCGGCACCGGCCTAATAAACCGACATGATAGCAACAAGAACGGCGTTTCGGAAACACACGGTAACTCGGGCATAGAATTCGGTACACGTGTTGCGATGGAGTTAAGGCGACTATAGGACAATAATGATATGTGTACTTGCGGCACGATGCGGATATCGTCGGGCCGTCTCGTGGTCAATAACACCGCCGGTACCACGCCGCGGACAAGACTACACGCGCAGCTATAATATTATATTGTATAGAAATCGCTTGCGGTGACAAAATAAAATAAAACACAAGCGAAACGCACCACTCGGTTATAATAACATTACATTGCACGCGACCGACGACAGGACGACCGCGAGTGAGAGAGAGAGAGAGAGAGAAAAACGGAGAGAAAAAATCAATCACGTTCCAAGCCCCGCCTTGGTCTATGTTCCTCGGCCAATCCATGTACCGTTCGTGATAAACGACCACCGCGGTTACCTATATTATTATCGTGTCCTACTATTTTGTGTTCACACAGCCCCGTATGGGTGTACCTGACGATTGCAACGAGCATGTCAAATGCACAAGCCGAGTCGGCTGTCGAGACGACCAAGTGCATCGTGCACTATTGACGATCATTAATGATAATTTTCGATCGTCCGACATCAACCCTGTGGTATACCTAATTAGGGCGTAACAACCATCAGACCTGATGACATATTACATCAACCCCTGCACCCGTGGTCTCTTTTATGTATCGTGCCCCACTGTCAGAGCCGTCTTTGGCCATGCAGGAGCCTTTTAAGAAAACAAAAAAAAACCGTTAGGTTAGCCCCCATCAGGTCAGGGGTTCTGCACCAGCACTAAACTTGGAAAACCCCTTCGGAATCAAAAGGCTGTAAATCAGCTACACCAGATACCCATATATATGGTGTAAAATCTTCCACGTTAAACTTTGTCAATCAAGTAAACCTTATAAACAGTAAGTGCGGACCTATCACGCGATTCACAAAAGTCGATACTGTCAATCCTTCTGGGCCGTCTGCGTCTGAGTGCACAATATAGGGTGTATGACTGTCCCGACTACACGGAAATAAATTCCAAACGTTTAATTCACAAAACACATGTAATGATTCTGAACGGTTTCCAACCACTACTACTACTACTACCAGCTGATTTCGCGGACGGTTGCCAATCCGGTGGGCATTATCAATAACCCGTTTCTTACAATATTATTATTATTAATTGTTATATTCTGGTAATGCGTTGTTACTTATTAGTACCCGAAACGTCATACTTTTTCACTGACACTCACGGGGTATGTTAACCGTCAAAATCCAATTTCATAATAATAATAACAATAAATAATTATAATATTATTTATCCTATTTAATTTTTATACAATTATTATAATTCACAATATTTCTTCTTTTTTCGCAATTCGCTTTATAGCTATTCAAGAGCCTTTGCGGCTGCTACAAAATCTCTCCACGATATTCTACCTTAAGTGTATTCTTCCCAGTTTATTACACCTAGTTGTTCCATGTCATTTTTCACTTTGTCCTTTCAACGCTTCTTAGGTGTGCCTCTTGGTCATTTGGATTCCAGTTTAATCGTTGCCTTTATATTCTTACTGTGTTTTCCCTTCGCATTGCATGCCCATACCATTAAATTCTTTGGCTTTTTACATAGCTTGTAATCCACAGTACCCCAGTTTTCTCTCTCTTAATTCTTTTTTACACCTTATTCTCCATTTGTCTCTTTCCGTATCAAACTTAGGTTCACATATTTCCTCGATATCTTGTTTTCCAGTATTATCAATCTTTGTTCCATTCTCTTTGACAGTAGTCATATTTCACAGCCATATTATGTCAACGTTGGTTGACAATATGGCTAATGGTAAATAAGGTACGACTGAGGTCATAAAAAATGTCTCTTTTTCTAAATGTTTAAGTATAATAATTAAACTTTACACACTTCAGTGCTATGCATAATGGAAGCCGCGTTATGAGTTTTATTGCTCTCTCTCTCTCTCTCTCTCTCATGTGCATACACACACACACTATAATAGTGATAATGATTTTATTTATAAATAGGTGTACATTACATGTATACGATTAAACATAATTTAAACCCCTTTTCACCAGAATGTAAAGTGGACGAGTGACTAAAGCGCTTAATCTTAGTCCTGAGCCGACTTAAAAATATATTTAAGACAATATTATTTTTGGAAGACCGCGTATATCCTCGCAGTGCGACTTTATGGTGCGGAACATAAACTTATGAGTAAATGCATTATAATAATTATTTATTAGATTATAAAAAAACGGCGCAATATTAAATGTAAAAAAATATGCTTTTAAAATATAAACCACTTTGGTGCTACGGTTTCTTTGCCAAATCCTAATGAAAACACATTTATTGTGTTTTTAATAAAAGTATAATATTCCCTTGATAAACACCATTCTGCATACAGAGTAATAATATTAATTATAATATATATATATATTATAATCATATGTATCTATTTAAAATAGACTATTTTGTACACTTGCAACGATACGCGAAAACATTACTTCACATACATAAATGAAAAGTCAAGCATATAATAAATGGGGTTTTTGACTATAACTTTACAATTACTACTACGGTAGGTTTGCAGTTATACTTTTCCGGTATCGGATAATTAAAAAATAGTGCGGTCTTACAATACAATAGGTATTATATAAGTATTATAATTAAGTATAATTATTTTCTCAAAAGCTGCAACTTTGCGACGGTAGTGCTGCGAGTCGCACGGGTGGTCCTTGTGTGGTGCCAAACGGACTTGCGCGGCAAACGACATCCCCCTATTATAATATATAATAATATGATTTCACATCAGCCTCCCCACCCCACCCCTCTCCCCTTACCGAAGTGAAAATACGTTCAGCCCGGGTAGCTTTGTTTATTTATTTATTTGCAAGTACGGTTTCGTTTATAATATAATAACACAAAATATAAAAAACGGATACATTTTGATACAACAGGCTCGATATAGAAATATAATAATAACTATTAACCGTACAATAATAACCACACTAAACTCCCGCGCCTAAAATGTATAGGTGACATTTTAGAGGATTTCAGCTTTAGCTGAGTATATTGAAGTCGAAACTGACAAAATGTACAACCTTGTCCTAGTAGAAAACCGAAAAAAAAAAAATTTGACAGCAGAGATTTCAACGATTCCTCCTAAATTAATTCTATATTTACCGACGATGAACATCGCCATGACTTATTTAAGGGCGAGACAAAAATGTTGTTGATAACAATTCTGTTTGAGTATGACCGTAGAAAATGATTAATTTGTTGTCAGCCATTAATTCGGTTAGATCACTGATATAATTATATATTTAAAAACAAAAATCGTTGGAATTCCTTTTCCGATCCAGTAACTAATGATTTTTTTTTTTTGTGAATTTTTGGTTTATTGTAAGTTTATTTCAACGACATTACCTAATACCTATTATTATTTATTATTTATTATTTAAATGGACTTTTGTACCCACTGGTTTATTATAATTGTGCGGCTATCATATTAGTCTATTATTTTTACTAAGCAGCAAAACTGTAACTTAAAATCGGTACAAACTACAAGTTATAATAATAATAAATTAGTTTTACACAAATGTAAAATTATATTAAATAGTAAAATTAAACCACTGTAGCAGACAGGTTGGTAGTTTGTGTAGAAATTATAACATAATATTATTGAATAAATGGTTAAATTACTAACAATAAAACGCACGTTAGTCACGATTAAACGATTGTATGGAAATATTATTGATAATAACTTATCGAATGATAAACTATTTTTTTTGTTGAAAGTTCACGTTCTCTAGTCAGAGGTATATTGTTTATATGGTTCGACTTAGGTAAATATTGTAATGATAATATTACAATAGTACCTTAGTTTTTAACTTACAAACGTGTTCGTTAGATGAAATATAATATTAAAATTTACGTTGCTTTCCTTTTATTATAAACACTTTATCTAATATGATAATGAAATGTTCTTTTTTTGTGACATTTTCCCAATACTCCTACGTTAGCAAAAGGTTTTTTTCTTAAAAAATAGATTATTAATGATATTTTTATACAACTTAAGGTGATTTATCCCTCTGACCACCCCCTGTAAATATGCCATTGCTTTGTAACTTAGGCTACACCTCGTGTGCCTGACGTCTATATTATGTGTGTGTGTGTGTGTGTTTATACCTAATATTATAATCATACCGTATTATTTCAAATACAAATATTATATTATACTACACTATTGTGTGGTCCGTATGCATTTAATTATCATTGTCTAAGTGTGCGCGCGCAAAACACATAAGACGGTGGGACATTATTAATAGAACCACTCAGGGTCCTCGCTCGTTTAGTCGACCATTTCTCCGGTGTAGAATGATATTATATTGTATTATTATTATTTCGTATAATATTGTACACACAAGCACACGCGCTACAGTTAGTATTGCAACAATAATAAATGACGTCTGACGATATGGCATTATTATATTATGTGCATGTGAACGTGTCTTAAAGCTCGGTTCCCAACGATTTAAGTTCTATATTTACAACTCCGGTCAAGCCTACATTTATATGTATGATATAGTGTTTAGAAAAAAAATGCACCGCCTAAAGCGACCAGACCGAATTGCCCAAGTGCAACAGACCACATTAGCCGCACTCGTCGAAAAAATAGACATTTTACCGTGCAAGTGTAACATAATATAATATACTGTTTATTACTTTAGTACTATATGATGACAATATATTTACTTGTGTAGAAAGTTTAAACATTCCCATGTACTTATTTATGCATGTTTGATATTTGAAGTTTACAGGGGCTTAACGTCAAACTACATAAGCGCTTTGAAGTTTTAAGATTGTGGCTTCCAAGCGTCAAAGACACGACTGTTTGGGTCTACAGGTAATAAGCATACTTAGTATTTCTGAAGTTCGAACCCCCTGTACTTGCTTTACGACTTTAGTGTTAAACTCCTATTAGATACGCGTTTTTGTTGGAGTTTATGATCTGTCATTGTTTACTGGAAAGATAGTAATTAAGAGGATGTCGCAAATGCCGTTTTTTCGTGGAAAAAGTAAATATATCTAGAAAACAAATACTGAAAGTAATCGAAAGAAAATAAAGAAGAGTTAAAAGAAGAACCAGAAGCTAATATTTGATTTATTATGGTAATAACTACAGTTTTTTTTTTTTTGCTTAATTAGTATACGCATTTTTTTTTAATGATGAACGAATTAGGACTTCAAGACAGTTGTTATATATTTATATGTCAAATCACTATAGGTATAGTGGGTTAATGATTAAAGTTGTGAACTATATTTCTCTATATAGAACTGGTAAACGCGAAATTTACAAAAGTGTTTAAAGAAACTAAACATTTTTTTTTCTTATAATTGATAACGTATGATTCAAAAGTAGTCAGTAAGTGTTATCACAGTAGGTACAGTGAAGAAAACACCAGTTTAAAAGTCAACGATAAAGTTTGCAGTTCATTTACAAAACAAGCGAAGTACTTTGAATTTAGATTGTAAAAGAAGATGAATGACAAAAATACAAATTTCGTTATAAGTTTAAAATCTGAACCTTTCTAAGCGCGTTTTAGCGCGGGTTAGTCTGTTAAGAGAAGCGTACGAATACATACAATTATAAGTTTAATATATAAATAGATAGTACAGGAAGAAAAATATTAACATGTATTATTATCTACTTGAACTCAAAATTATCATCATACAACAAAATGCGTACGGGACATTAGCCAAAACCTGCGCCAATGTCTATACGCAATTATTGTGCTATACAGATTACAATTAGTATATTGTTAGAACATATTATATTTATCCGATATATTTTGTATAATGATTATTGATTTAGGTATAACACGTTACCGTAGCTTTGAGACTTTCAATATTGTTTTAAAATCACCTAGATCCGTTCATATTAGTTTCATATATAGCTTATTTGACATTAGTAGGCGAATGGTTAATACAATAAAAAATGTTTTTTATTGTTTAAAAACTAAATTTCATAGGAACTCAAAATGCATTTAAATACTTTTTATAGGATGGTGTAAATCACTTGCATGGAAAGGATAAAAACGCGCTAGCCTCCCCCCCGCCCACACACACACACACAC